ACAAAGGATTGGATAATTGATGATGTCCTCTGAAGTAGGCGATAGAAGACAGTGAAATTTCCGTTGTTATATTGTCTTCTAATAAGCGACTAATGGCTGTTGTCGGGCTGTATGAAAGTTCTAAGTCATATAATTCTCTTATCTAGTCAGCCGCGTTCGTGTTAGATTTATGATGCAGTGGCTGGCAGCCGCCTGTTTTAATGTGTCATAGGTTGGTTCAAAAAGTTTCAAGCCAAGCAGGGTTTTCATCGCGAATGGTTGCTTCCTTCCACACAACCGGTGGTGTAATACCCAATGGGCTACAGTAACATCCTTCTTTCTCTGGCTGCAAATCACACAGTCGGTTACCCAGTCGAAAATAATCCCGCTCAAGTGCCACCATGAGGCTGCCACTCGTTCTCTGAATGGCACGCCCTCAATGGTAATTCTTCGAAACGAAGGTCCTTTTAATCTTAATCGACTTGGTCTAACCCACTGACAACACTGTCTGATCTTCAACTCCTGAGTTACAACGTGTCGAACAATACTGAGTACTATATACCAAGGCTGTTGGGGACGTTAAAACACCGTTGTTGTTAAGCAACTTCCGCTTGATCGAACCGACGTCTAACCTGCCGTCCAAGAATGCATTCGATTTGACGTATCCATTGGGAGTTATAAACCCAACGGTAACTAATCCTAGCCGTGTTGGTGCATATCTAGCTCTTGCGGAAACACAGACTTTTTCATTCTGTGTAGTTTTCTCATAATCCTCACCTAAATGAGACAAACTCAACAGTTCTGGTGGCATTTTGCACGACTGGGCTGCCCACTAATTCTTTGAGGTCTGCGAAGTCGGATTTCTTTCATTTGCATGCATCCTCTCAGCCACATTAGCCTACTGGTTTTGAATAAGGTGCGGAAATAAACACGCTATCTATTTTAAGACATTCAGCGACTGAAATTCAGACAGTTAGTTTGTTTGCGTTTGTGCTATTTCACAGCTTTTCATTTTTATGCACAAGTCTGCAAACGGCTCTGGAGTCCGATCAGCGTGGCATGCCTGCCTTAACACGTCTGCCAGAAGAGAACGCGAGGCAATACGTAACTGACCAAACAAGCTGCTAGGTATTTCCCGTGCGCCCGCATAGGCCAACGGTAATGGCAACACAACACACTTTTTTTTATTGCAACCCTCCATCCCCTCTATAATAGTGAGTCAAGTAGAGGAGTATCTATCCAGCATCCGCTATTTTACTCTCGATGCAGGTTTTGAGCTGGCGAACAATTTTCTAATATTGCATCGGGTTCAAACCAAAAGCAGACAGCGCAATTTTTGACAGTTTTTGAATGGCAAACACTGGACTCCTAGAGCTTCAGTGTATCAAAACTCTCATGTCGGCAATGGCCGTTCCCTTCAGGTCGCGTTTTATTCACTTTGTACTACTCCATATGGGTAGCTACACCTGCAACAGCATCCATGGGTTGTCGACTGTCATCAAAAATTTTTTCTTCGTTCTTCGCCTCAGTCCTAGCAAGCCCAGTTTTTCGACACCGAAAGTAGCATGCTGACGTTCGACCTCGCGTTTAACCCGCCTTTTTTCAAATTCTGCTAATTCTAAAGCCTTTACCGAAACATAAGACCTACGACCAATACTAAAAACGATCTTACAAGAGTCGGATTAACAATTTCCTACTTGAGATTTCATTGTCCTTCAAACATCCTCGGGTTGTCCAGTTAAAAGGCCCCACCCTAAAGGTCTAATCCGCTCTCCTCTGAACGTTTCTGCATCTGGATGTTTCAGTTAACCGGAATTCTGGTCAGTTAATGTTAAAAATATTCTGAGTACCTTTGAATTCTTCTGTTTTTTAGGGACAAGTATAAGCCAAAGAACAGGTTTCGGTGTGTATATGATGCTATTGCCAGAATAGTAATAAGAAGAGAAAGGTACAACCCTAAGCAGAGAATACCTTTGCGTCAGAATTCATCAGTTAATATGAGGGCAAATAAAATTTTCGATTCAAAGTTAGGCAAAGAAACCAGTCAATTAAAAGACCGTAGTTCATACACAAGAAAACAAAAGAAGAGGGAAAATTTCCACAACAAGGAGCAGCATTGGAGGCACTTGAGTGAGGGGTGTGAAGAATCCCAAATATTTATCACAATAATGCGGCAGTATACAAGTGCGTCAGTATATACAATCTTGCTCAAAGTGTAAATATGCGAAATTATTGCACATAAATAGGCTCATCAGTATAATTTGGTCGAAAACGGCCTTTAACAAAGTCCCCATGAAAGGCTACTAATAAAGCTAATAAGTCATGGAATTAGGCTCCATTTTCAATCTTTTAAATTCTGTCTTCAAAACTGGCAACGGGTGGTACGGATTCGAAATGTGGTCTCTAAACCACCCTATATTACCAGTGGAGTACTTTGGAGCACAAGCCTAGGCCACCTTTTATTCCTCATATGTATTCACGGCTCGAGACAAGGTCGGGTGTCGCTTGCGCTTTGCAGAGATCGCTGCAATATGGAGAAGGAAATCAGAACTCTGTAAGCAGCTGAACCACGTGATAAACCTGGCACTACCATGGCAAGGTTCGATAATGGACGGAACCCTGTTCCCATATACGCTCTCTCATTTCGTCCTCACCCTCCTGCCCCTCCCCGGCATGGCCGAATGCTGTCCGCGCTTTGCACTTTTAAACACGCCTGATAAGTTCTCACTGTAATCCTAACTCGCATGCTTAGATGAATGCTCTCCCCCTCCCCTCCTCTCGCCATGCGCATCCGCATTCTAAACCCATGTTTCATGCAACCTATCACGTTTTATTTCTCTAGGCCGATCGCTGCTTGAACAGTTTGACTTGTCATATAACTATGCAATGACCGTGTGCAGATGAATGAGCGGTTTTGAAATCCATGACGTCAGTAAATTCTGAATGCTTTGTCGCCTTTGCCTTATTCAAATTTATTCCTGGAAAACATTGCTTCAAAATTTGAGTTTAGAAGCGCGTTAAAAACCTATACGAATAATTCAGGCTACAGTCTGAACCTCCATCCAGAGCGGGGGACCGTGTTATCACGCCAGTTGACAGCCTTCCTAACAGACCGGACCACATGGAAGAGGAAAAGAGAACGACTTCCATTCGCATGAGAGATGCCGATTCTGCGTTTGTGATGGGCGATGTGGATGGATCCATATGTGGTGTATGTGGTGTCTGGCGCGCCAGTGCCGGGAACACCAACCTACACTCGCCGCACTCGCCTCCGCTGTCCACACTGCCCCCGCACCTTCACTCACGGCCACATGCGTTTTCATGAAAACCTGCAGTAGACAACCGTCGGCTACATCACACCATTACACCTTCCCCAACCTATATCACACAACATGACCACGCAGCACAATCATCCATCTGCTATCTCCCACGCAAGTGGGAAACGGGCACCTCTGCTCCGTCTTCAAGTGGCCTTATTGCTTGTGTGACTCGATTCTGAGACTATCACGGCACGTCAAGTGCTGTCGATCGAAAGGCTGTTGACTGACGCCCAAACTCAGTCCACGCAGTCAGTCAAGTTGTGTGTGCGTATGTGTTGGTGTCTTCTGTGAGGCTGTAGGCGAATCCGCATCGTTGAGATGACAAGACGATGGTCATTTCACCCGTCAGTACCCAGAATCGCCTTTGCCACCGGCCCGCTCCGCTGGTCTCGCCTCCGGACGATGACAGAGTCCAACAGATGCCAGTTTCGTGACCGAGGGTTCATCCAGGTGGCCTTCTCTCGCATCAGGGGGTAGAAGTAAGTGATAGTCCGGATGGGCCGGTGTTCGGCACAGGTTCGTTGGAGGAGCAGGCCACTGTCATTGGAACTGTCGAGACCATGGGGATCCAGCACTCTTCTCCAGGTAATATGGTCGGTGACGACCCAGGCGTTGAAGTCACCAAGGACAATCAACTCATCCGCCTTAAGCAAAGACGCCAGGATGGCGTAGAATTTGTCCCTTGCAGCATCAGGGCTAGCCATCGGGGGGGGGACGTAGCCATTGACGATGGTGGCTGATTATCTTCCCTGGAGAGATAGGCGGATGCTCATCAGGCGATCGTTGACGCCATGCAGCAGACAGGGCAGTTGTCCCACGATGTCGTTCCGGATGGCAGAGACGACGCTTGCGTCCCGTCACTCTTCGTTGGGACAACCACTCCAGAAGGTGTAGCCGGCACTCACCTCCTCCAATTGGCCTTCTTCGGAGAAGCGGGTCTCGCTGAGCGCAGCAATGTCGACTTTGTACGGCGTCAGTTCCCGAGCCACCAGCGCCGTCCTTCGTTCCGGTCGGTTGCTCTTCGGATTGTCTAAAAGAGAACGAAAATTCCAGACTGCCAGCGTGAGCGAATTCACCCTACCAGCCTGTGGGGTGAGACGGCAGGGGAGAGAGAAAAGAGTATTTTGTTTCTTGTTTGGTTGTTTCGACCGTGAGTTTTGCGCCTGAGGTTACGGTCAGCCTGCTGACGGTGTGGATCCCCAGCATTTGTTTAGGGCATCTTTTCTAGCCCCTCTTTCCTCGCAGGGATGGGCGATGCAGTCCCTAAGTAGGGCTGCACAGTTGTTCCAGACGGCTGCCGAAATCCACTATGGGCCGCGACTTTTGAGTTTGGTGGGAGAACGACCCGAGTTAGCCTGGGCCTGCCTACGACATCACCGTAGGTCTTGCAGGGGGAATGGGGAAGGGTAGACAGGCGGAAAGCAGGGCTTTCCCGTCCCTCTCTAGGCTAACTGGTTGCTGAAATACAATCGGTGAATAGACAAATTCAACAGAAGGACATTTAGCTTGCAGTGAGTACGGACACAAACAAGCAGACAAAAAGCAAACAGACAAGAAGAAGCGAAAGCAAATGCAGCAGAGCAATGTTCGCTTACCTGGGGGCTCATTCATCTTGTAGCCTCCTACGGTGTTTTAGATGGAACCTCACCTCAGAGACGCCGATGCGGTGATCTATCCGGCCAACCGAGATTACCTTGCGCGCAGGTGCACACACGGACACCATCATCTGGTTTAGCCGGCCAGTTGAGGCGGTTACCGAGGTGTAGCCACTGGGCAGGACCCATCTTCGGGGAGCCACACGTGAGAGTTTGGTGCCAGAAAATGGACGCTAGAGGTAGTCTACACCTGCAAGCAAGCAAGCGACCCACTTCGACCGTCACGTAGACCCACGGCTGGACAACCCTACACCACCTCGCAGGAGACCTCAAGCAAGGAGCTAACTCAACGGCTAGCCAACCTTCAAGTCGCCGCTGCCGTCGCTGATGAGAACGCCTCCGTAGAGAACCGGTGGTGTCAACTGCGGGACACAGTCCAGTCGACGGTCCTGGCTGTCCATGGTCACGCACGACGCCAACATATGGACCGATTTTATGACAACGACGCCGCCATTGGTAACGCATTCGCCGAGCAGAACCGCCTGAACAAAGCCTACATCACCCACCCCACCGACAACAACGAAGCAGCCTTCTACCGTGGTCGCTGCCCTGTTCAAAAGTGGCTGCGGGAGACGTAGAACGCTTGGACGGCTCGCAAGGCCAAGGAGGTTCAAGGATACGCGGATCCCAAAGACTGAATGAATTTCTTCTCCGCGATCAAGGCTGTCTACGGTCCGCCACCCAAAGCAACTGCTCCTCTTCTCAGCGCCGACGGCAGTACCCTACTCATTGAGAAGACAGAAATTCCTTAGCGATGGGCCGAGCACTTTAGAAGCGTCCTCAACCGCCCATCCACCATCTTCAACGCTGCCGTCACCGGTCTGCTTCAAGTGGAGACCAACGCTGACATCGACCTCTCGCGATCTCTCCACGAAACCATCGGGCCGTGCAGCAGCTCTCCTGCAGAAAAGCGTCCAGATCGGGCGTGGTCGCTGTTGTGATCTAGAAGCACGGTAGTCCCCAAATCATGGATCATCTGACGGTGCTCTTCTAGGAGATGTGGCGTCAAGGAGAAGTTCAGCAGGATTTCAAGGACGCAATAATTGTCAATCTCTACAAGCGGAAAGGTAATCGCCAGTTCTGCGATAACCACCGAGGCACCTGCCTGCTGTACATCGCCGGGAAGATCTTTGCTTGCATCCTTCTCAATGGCCTGAATAAACATCTGGTACAAGGTCTCCTGCCGGAAAGCCAGTGCGGCTTCTGCTGTCATCGTGGAACCCCCGACATGATTTTCGTCGCCAGCCAACAATAGGAGCAATGGCAGAAGATGCGGACCCACCTCTGTTCTACCTTCGTGGATCAGACGAAAGCCTTCGACATGGTGAATCGCGAAGGACTGTGGAAAATCATGCAGGAATTCGACTGTCCCGAGCGATTCACTCGGATGGTGCGTCAGCTCCACGATGGCATGATGGCGCGAGTCGCGAACAATGGAGCTGTTTTAGAGGCATTCGCAGTGACCAGCGGAGTGAGACAGGGCTGCGTCCTCGCGCTTACACTCTTCAGTCTCATGTTCTCTGTCGTGCTGGTGGATGACAACCGCGACGAACGCCCTGGTATCCACATCGCCTACAGTACGCACGGCCACCTCAATCAGCGACGGATGCACTTCCAGTCGCGTGCTTCCATAACCACCGTCCATGAACTTCTCTTCGCCGACGACTGCGCTTTCAACGCCACCTTCGAGTACGAAATACAAAGGAACATGGATCTCTTCGTCGAAGCCTGTGACAACTTCGGCCTGGTCACCAACATGGAAAAGATTTTGGTCATGCATCAACCGTCGCCCGACGCTGCCTACGTTGCCCTCAAATCAACGTGAACGACGCGCAACTGCAAGTGGTGGACAACTTCACCTACCTGGGCATTGCCCTCTCCCGTAACACCAAAATCGACGATGAAGCGGCCTGCTGAATTTCCAAAACCAGTCAATCTTCCACCCGTCTGCAAAGCACCGTCTGGAGCCGTAATTGTCTTCATATCGACACGAAACTGAAGACATACAAGGCATCCATCCTGCCGACGCTGTTGCATGGAGCGGAGATCTGGATGGTGCACATGAAACAGGCACGTAGACTGAACCACTTCTACCTCAGGAGTCTTAGTCGAATACTGAATCTGGGGTGGCAGGACCGGATGTCAGACACGGACGTACTGGAATGGACGGAAGCCCTCAGCATCAACACCATGCTGAGACAACTGAAACTGCGTTGAGCGGCCACCCCATGCGGATGGACGACGAGAGGCTACCCAAACGACTCTTCTATGGAGATGTCGTGACGGGTTCACGCCCACAAGGATGTAAATCCCAGCACTACAAGAATACTCTGAAAACCTCCGTGAGGCGCCTGCAGATCAACCCGACCAACTGGGAAGACCTCGCCCGGGACCGGCATACGTGGTAGAGAACAGTGAAGACAGTCACAGCAATCTTCGAAACCAACCGCATCACCGCCGTAAAAGCCAAACGCGAGACACGCAAATCCTAATTGCCGCCGCATCCTCATAAAGCCAACGCCCAGCCGCCATCGACGTGTCCACAATGTCAGCGGACATTCCGAGCGCCAACTGGACTTGCTGGACACCTCCGGACCAACTGCAGCACCCGGACCGCCAACCAGCGTCTCTTCGCCCACCTCTCCCTCGCCTCCCACGCCGTCAACTAGCGTTGACCGCCCTCCTCAACCACCACGACCACCACCATCCTCCTCCTCCACTGCATCAACGTCTGCCGTGTGGCGTCTGCCATGCCCATTAACACTCCACACAACCCTGACACACCAAAAAACACCAGCACCACCACCGCCAACACCAGTGATGAGGACCTGGTCTACACCTGTCCTCATTACGATCGCACCTTCACCTCGCACATCGGCCCGGTCTGTCACTAACGAATCCATAACACAGAGACCGGCGAACCAGTGTCTGGGACACCAACCTTCACCGCCGCATTCGCCCTCACTGTCCACACTGCCCTCGTACATTCATGGACCGCATGGGCCTATTTGATCACATTGCGTATCCACGGGAGCGGAACTGACAACAACCTCGACACACTTAGCACATCCAGCACACCTACCATGTCTGGCCCCGCCCTCGCTCCGCCGCCCTGCGCACCCACTGTCACCAGCTTCAACACGCTCAGTACATATTGCACACCCACCATGCTCAGTCCAACCTACACCTCGTCACCGAGCTCCCACCACCACCAGCTCAACCACCACCGAAGCTAATACAGACACCGTCGACTTCTCATGTTCACACTGTCCTCGGACATTCATCTCACACAACGGCCTGGTCGGTCACTTGCGAATCCATCACACAGAGACTGGCGAACCAGTGCTTGGAACATCAACCCACACTCGCCGCATCGACCTCCACTCTCCGCAGCGCACTTGCACATTACTTCACCGCATGGGCCTATAAGGCCACATGCGCGTCCATGAAAACCCGCGGCAGACTATCGCTAGCTGCACGACATCATCACATTCTTCCTCATCAGCATCTCTCCGCACATCACACTTCCCACTTGCGTGGGAGGTGGCATTTCGGCTCCTTCTCTATGCGGCCCCCGCTGCATGTGTGATCGGAGTCTAGGACGAAGACGGTGCGTCGAGCACCGTGGCTAGGAAGGCAGCCGACTGACGCCCCAACTCCGTCCACGCAGTCTGCCCAATCGCTTGTGTTGTGTGGAGTGGTGAACTGGTGGGCTGAGAGCTAGGTTGTCACGGCCCCTTCTTAAGTGATTTGTGACACTCTAGTGCATGTGAGGAGAGTGTTTTTGTTGTGCGTGTGCCGTATGGGTAGTGCCGCTCAGTCGACGGCTGCTTATTACCCAACCTTGAAG